TTTTGAAATAATAATTAATGAATTTTATTAAAAACTCGAACACCGACAATTCTCTTTCCTTCAGAAATTCTCATATTGTGTCAGAGGCGCACTGGGTTGTTAGTAGTTCACTTGGTATCATGCTACGCTATGGGGGTAGATTGTCCTGGTTCGAATCACCAATAGCGGGGCGAACTTGAACTTGGGTTATTTGGGGAATTTTCAATGCTCTCTATGAACCAGGCCTGGTCGTGTCATTGATAAACGATCAATTCCGCCTCTTAAATAGTGTTACATACTGTTTAGAGCGGCATTAAGTGCACATTATATCATTCTATGAATGGCGCAGTTTCAAACTATTAACGTGGGTGGTTGGCGGGTGCTCTGGTGTGGTTTTTTCCTTCTTTCCTATCAAGCATCTATCGTCCTGATCCCTTTTTGTTTTTGTGTTTGTTACTTTCTTGTAACACCTTTAACTTTCGGGAGGTATATTACCTATTTGTTGTGTTGCAAATGCCGTAAAACTCTTACAAAAATAAACCTTACTAAGGCTGCGAATAAAGTACTGGGAATAGGGAAATGATGACACTGACATCCCCGCAAATAACGTTGTGCTGTTGAGAAGGGCGTAAGCACACGCTATAGTATGAATGGCGCAGTTCCAAACTATTTGCTAAGGCTGTTGTGAATACTGCGAATAGCGAAATGATGACATGGACATTCCAAAGTGTTGTCGTTCGTTCCTTGACCATTACGACGGGTCTCCGCGTGGGCCGACCAACAAACACCTCCTGTCTGATCGTGGGAGTCCGATCTGACGGACTGGTCACCTGTTGCATTGTGGCGGACCACAGAAGTGATCGTGACACCTCGGGGATATCGGAGCTTTGTCACTGGCGCGACCTCGGTATTGGTAGCAGTTGTCACTCTGCCACAGGGGAGGTCGATTGTTGAGTAAGGCGACAATAATGTGCCTTCCTCCTGTGAAGTGTGTAGTGGCGTGTGAAGTGGGGAGTGTTAATTATAGTGTGCGTGCGTGCGTGTGTGTGTGTATGTGTGTGCTTGCCTTTGGGGTTGTGTGTTGTCTCGTTATAAGTTAATGTCAGCTTTGTATTGAGCTGCATAGTGTCTTTAGAGGGTGATGGTGCTCAGAGAGAGAGAGAGAGAGAGAGAGAGAGAGAGAGAGAGAGGGAGAGAGAGAGAGAGAGAAAGGGGGGCGCAAAGCTACCTACCTGCCTACCTGAACCGTGATTGTTTTTTCCCCAGTTGCATGTGCCTGGATATCATCTTCCACACTATTTTACATTTTTCTGTCGGCACTTTTTTGTTGTTGCAAAGCCATCACAATCTGGCTATTGTTAACCCCTGCTTTGTTTTGGAGTGTCAATTCCTTTCAATGTCCACCCACCCCCCTGCCCCGATCAATCTCTTGACATTAACACATTAGTGAAAAAAATCGAACGAGCTGCTGGGACCGCTAGTATTTCTAGTTTAATTGTTAGGCCCTCTGCCCATGCGTACCAGAGACGTCAGTTCGATTTCCGCTTCGGAAAGTTTATATTTATCGAGCACAGTGTACACAAAAATTTTATAAGTAGAGAATCTTTGGTGTACATTGTAATGTGGGTCTTTCTGCTCGGTCGCTGGTTCAGCTTCAACTGTTGGGCGGTGGAGGGGGGGTGTCGAGGAAGGCCATTTTCAAGCTTAGTAAATTATGAAGTTTGGTTGCCATACTTACCTTTATCCGCGTGCTTTCGATTTCGGTTTTCGCACGACTTTCAAAACATCCCCGAGCCGAGTCCTAGAACTATTCATAAATCCTGCTCCTCTCACCATGCAGAGAGACGTAGATAAGAAAACGCAACTGCCAATGTTATAACAATACGCTTTTTTTCTAAAGTGTGTAGAAAACGCATGTGTGGGTTTTGAGGACCAAACTGGGACATGGAGAGCAGGATAAAGAAATTTGACTCTTTCGCTGTGTTGCATAGAAGATTGAGTAGTTCGTTCAGGTCTGTTGTCACCACCCCC